TGCGTCGCTATCTACCAGTCGCACACGTACGCCGGCTCGTCGGCGCGCGCCCTCGCCAACGGGGCGGCCCTGCTCGCCTCGCTCGAGAAGTGGAGGCCGTCGGTGCGCGCGATCGAGGCGGCGGTCGCCCCGATCGCGGCTGAGCTCAACGAGGCGTCGGGCGGCGCGGTGCTTGCCCACGGGCAGGGCGCGCTGTGGGGCGGCCTCTTCGCCCACCCCGATCCCCAGGCGCGCACCGCCGCCAACCTCGAGTTCAAGCGCCTCTGCGCAGAGGCGTGCGGCCCCACCCCGCGCCCACGGCGCCCTCGTGGCACGCCGGAGGAACGTCCTAAGCACGTCCGCAGGCGCGCGTGCTGCCCTACTTTGTGCCCGTTGGCGGCTTCATGCTTACGCCGCGCTACGACGACGACCCCGACGTGTATGGTGCCGCTGTCAGGGACATGGCCGATTGCGCGTTGCAGGCGGCGCGCAGCATGGGTTGGGCGCCGTCGGCGCTTCTGCCCGTCTCAAAGCCCGCACCTCGAGATTCTTGAGGTTTGAGGCGCTACACTTTGCACGGCCGGTTCCACTCGAACGGCCGGTTCCACTCGAGTTTGCGGTACGAAAAGGTGCCGGGCGCGTTCGCCGTCGCTGCCACCGGTTTGGGGGATCGCCAGCCACGTCCCACGTGGTCGTGCAGTCCAGCACCTTACGCCATGCGGCAGCAACGCGGGTGCAAGGTGTGTTGCAACGTGAGGTGCTCGGGGTCCGACCGCATACGTGAAGCTAGCATTTGATATGTGCGTGTGTGCGGTTGTGAGGGTCCTCTACGGCTCTTGGGCTCTAGCGTTTCTAGCTCGGGTTGTCTCATCACGAAAAAAAAAATTGCTAGCTCAAAAAACCGGCACACCAATCTCCCTTCCTCTCTCTATCCTCTCTTGGAGCTCCAGAGTCCACACCCCCCTGCCCCGGGATCGCGTACAAGCTATGGCTACCGTAGGCCACACTAGCGTCGCTGGGGGTTCCCTGCCCTAGATGGGAAGCTGGCCGCTGATCCGAAGACCGACTGCACCAGGGCGCCTAGATATACTCGAGGTGAGCGAGGGTGAAGTTACGCCTTAAATGCCGGCCTCTCTACTGTGGACCTTACTCCGAGCTCGTTGGCTCCTCCTATTCCCCCACCCCCCCTCCCCCCCCACTCTCTCCGAGCAAGGGCGTGCGCTACGTCCCCAAGGGGGGGGGGACGTGGGGGGGAGGTGTGGCGCTTGGGTTGTGGCGTTTGGGTTGTTGTGGGGCACCCAAACGGTTTCGGTTTTCCTCCTTGGTGCCCCGAGTAGAGCGCGATCTCCCCTGGAGTCTGTCGCGCCCGTTCTGTCTAAGCTCGAGGTTCAACCTTCCAGTTGATCCTTATCGGACTGGTGAGGTCTGCCTAGCCGTCGTAGTGTAGTGCCTGGGGTGCGTCTGCGTCGGTGCTACACACACTCGGCAGGACGCTGCTCTAGGTCGTTGCTGCTGGTCGTCGCTGTTTGTCAAGGTGATAAATCGTTTCTCTTTTGTTTCAACAAAATGACTCTCACAGTGACTTCTTTGTGTGGCCAAAAACATGTCCGAGATAAACCCGAACGATCGGGGTCGAAGGTGCTACACACACTTGCCCCCTGGTGGTCTGGCACTCGGCGTTATTCCTACTGGGGTTAGGCTGTTTTTCTTTTATTTTCTGAATCTCGGGGGGGGAAGGGGGAAGTGGGTTCCGGTGTTTTTTCTTTGCACTATGCACATACGTAAAAACTAAAATTTGCGCTTAAAGGGTGTGGATGCTGGGTTGAACAAAATCGAGGGACGCGACCCACTTCGCCACAGACGGCCCCGCGCCTCGCCGCTATGACGGGCACACGCCCCGCACCGTCCGCTGTGTGCCCGTCTTTGTCCGGAGTGAAAAGTCCAACGCGCTCGTCGGTGGCGGCTTCCCTCAACCTGCGCCGCGCTCGGCGAACCTCGACAGCGCTTTCGGTGGCATGCAGCTCTTTGCGACAGATTCCTGGAGAGCAGCTCCTCTGCTGCTCACACACTCTGCACAGCTGACACAGCCTACTGTGCGGCTGCCACAGCTGTGACAGCGATGGGCTCGCCCTCACTGGCCCTCAGTCACTTGTGCTGCGGCTTGTGTGAGCGACACTGCTCGGCGACTGCCGGCACACTGTGAGACCATGGGTGTGAGGTGAAACCACGCTACCAGCGCTTGGTCACATCGGCCCCGAGGTCAGATCCATCTACTCTGTTGATGACAAGACTTGTCTACCGGCTGGAGCCGAGCAGGAGGGCTTGGCGCACAACCCCTGTTCAACTCACCCTCCACACCCCGTAGTGCAAAGTGCAAAGTGCAAAGTCCAAAGACCAAAGTGCAGGTCGCCCTCGTGTTTTTCTTTTTATGCTTTGGCAGTAAAAAGAACAGGCTCGGCCGATATCCAATACTTCGACTCACATCTTCGCTGCGGTGTGCCCGGGGAGGCGCGGCGGCGGGGTGGATTGAGAAGGCTCAGAGTGCAGAGAGACTGCAGGCGTGCAGAGGCGCGCGTTGCAGTTTCTCTGATCGGGCTGCTGGCGGTGTGAGCGCAGGGTGGCGTGGTGAGGCGTGAGGCAGGCTATTGTTGTGGAGTGCGGGCTGCATCGTCAGGCGTATGCGTGCACATGGTGCTGTATGCTGTGTGTGCAGGCTGGCAGTCTGTGCAGCAGAGAGCGGAAGCGCGCGCGCGCGCTCGTGCGGGCGTGCGTGCGCGCAGCGTGCCACGCGCGCGCCTCGTGCAGTGCAGACAGGCGCGAGGCGGCAGGGGCGCAGTGTGGAGCACGCGGGCTGATGGTGCTGAATGCTGTGTGTGCAGGCAGGCTGACAGGCTGTGCATAAGACTGAGCGGATGAGCGCGCGCGCGTGCGGGCGTGCGTGCGCGCCTGCGCGGTGCCGGATCTGCGTCTCACTCGCGGCGCGTCCTGGTACAGCCGCTTATGAGATGCCAGAAGCAGTCTGCAGAGCCTGCACAGGGCGCAAAAAGGCGCAGGTGTGCTGGTGAGGTGTGCTGCGGCGCGCGCGTCGCGGCGTGAGTGGATATGCGGCTGCCTCTGGTGGTGCGAGGGGCGCGCAGCTGGTGCGGGCGGCGCGGGACGGCCATGGGGCGCCAGCACAGAGCAGACGCACATGGGCACAGCTCTGAAAGGCGCTGCGCGTGTTTGCGTGCGCGCGGGGACGTACGCGCAGTTTTCACGCGGTGTGCCTGGAGAAGGGCATGAGAGGCGCCGGCCGCGCGTGTATTGGCGTGTGGGAGTTCGGAGTATGCCCGGAGGGCGTGATGGTGCCCGAAGGGCGGTCCTCCATGCGGAGGTGAACCTTTTCAAAAAGAAAAGGTGGTCTCATCACGAAAATAGCAATAAAACCCTTGCTAATTTTACGGACCTCGCTGACTGAGTCTGAGATCTGAGTACAGTAGAGTGAAGTAAAGCCGTACTCTGTGAGATGGGTAAAAAAAAGGAATGGACAATGGTCCCCGCCCGTCGCGGCCCGATCTTTGTGCATGGTTCTTTGTGGGTGTGGTCGGCGTGTCGTCCTCCCGATCTGCATCTGGGCACTGTGGGGGACAGGTACAAAAAAGTGTCTCGCACAACGCACACACCTCCACAGACCACACCCAGTCACATCCTCACGAAACTCGAAAGGAGTTGAGTCGCTCGCACCGCGATTTTAAAAGTCGACCAACGCAAGTCCAAGGACCAAGGAGCAAGATCTCTCTAAGTCTCTACCTCGAGGTCGAGCCCCTGCCGGCAGCCAGGGCCTCGAGGTACAGGTAGACTTCTTGTGTGGGTCGTGTGGAAATAGACAAAACGCGCAGTGCCAGACCGACACACGTCGTGGACAGTCTCTTTTTCCTCTCTGGGCTCGAATAATGGCCTCGCGCATTGTGCGTGTTGCAACACCGTGCTTCACGGCTCTCTCGTGCAGGCGAAAGGCGACAACGGCGGGCAGGCCTCAGCCTTCGCCGGACGCCGCGCGCCCCGCCGCCAACGCCACCCCCGACACCGATCGCAACTCAGGCCTTCCACACACCGCGGTCGAGGGGGCGCTGCCGCCCAGCACAACCGGCGTGAGATCAACACGATCGGCCTGGGACGTCGCAGTGATTAACAGGAACGCAGTGGCGGCACTGATCAGCACCGACGGCAGATGACCATCGTTGGTGTGCTGCTGCTGGCGCTCCTCAGGAGCGGATTGGCACAATCGCACAGATTCGAAGGTTGGCGACAGAACCGATGAGTGTGCAATCAGCTGCCTCGCATCGAATCGCCGGCGGCACTTTGGGCATGGTGGGGACTCCTGCATTGGCGTCGATGACACTGCGAAGAGGAGGAGACAATGCAGATCGAAAATGTGTCCGCAGGGGAGCTTGTGCGGGTCCGTCGGCGTCTCGAGGCAAATCGCGCATATCTCTTGGTCCTTCTCGCCCCCTTGCTCTCCTTCAGCGGTGATGCTCTCCATTACGTTGCGGGTCGGCCGCGAGTTCCAGTTCTCGCTAAGTAATCAATGAGGTTCTAGAAGAGAAATTCAGGGGCGCGCAAGCGACAGGACAGGACACTCAACCTCGTAGCTGGCAAATGGCGCGTTCCGCGCCACACGTCATGAAGTTTGTCACGAGTGTTAGAAATCCAGAACTCCCCAGTGCGGACGGGGCACCCCCCGAGCATGGGGGATAGATGGCCCATGTCTCAGGGAGGTAGTCGTCTATGGAGGAGGC